TTGGTGAAGTTACACAGGTGGAACACGAGTATCAATTTGTCAAGTTTTAAAGTTTGAGGACGTGATTTGCATTTGGACATTATTGAGAGATTGAGCAAGGTGAAAATTCGACTAATGAATATCGTGAATCTTGTATTCAGAAACTTTTTGAGTGGCTAATTATTTATATTTCTGATTTGTTGTGTCAATGCTGAGGGAGAGGTCCTCATTTTGAGTGGCCAAAGATTTCTCATATTCCTCATGTCTAAGGATTTTAGAGATTGTTGAAGTTTGGTTTTCCTGTAAATATATTTCAGCTATTGACTCATTTTTCATTTATTTTGGTTAGTTACAACGTGTGTTTAATTAATTACTGTTACTAGTAAATAAAGAGTCTATCGAGATTGTCCTGTGATTCTGTGGCACAAAGATTTTTTAGTTAAATATTGTTGCAAGTATTATTCAGTTAAATGACATTATTTTCTTTAATTCTATTTATTAATTATCCACTTTTTTTTCCTTTAGGTTAGTTAGTATGATTAAATATTTACTATTATAAATTTCTTCAAAAAGATTATGTATTTAGCATAAATTTATTGTTATAAGGCATTGACGGAGGATCACATCCACCCTACAAGAATGTGAATCGATACGCATTCGTTCCCCTATCAATTCCTAATTGTGTTTGAGCCTTGTTCCACTTTGCTCTCGTAAGTATTGTATTATTATCATGACAAAAACATTATCGTGATTTGAACTATCATTAATATCTCAGGAGCACACAAAAAGGAGGATAAGATAAATATTGCACACTTCAACTTAGTTAAGGCTTAACCAGACCAAATATTAGATTTGTCAAATGTTAGAGGTGAAAGAAAGCGACTTCCTATGTAACTTGGGAGTATTTGAATCATCCACTCTAGAAAAAATGGCGAAACTATCTTTAGAATCTTTGAGTATGCATGGTATAAATTAATTAGGAGAAAAATCAACTTTCAATAATTGTAGCAACACAAACTAATTTATTTATTTTCTAGTGAAATTTACAGGTGCGACATGGCTACCAATTTGTCAAATATGAAAGATAAAGGACGTGACTTGCATTTGACGTTTAGTGGAAATTGAGCCAAATGAAACTTCAACCAAACAAGGAAACTCTTGAAGTTGCTAATTATTTATATTTCCACCTTGTGAAAATAGTCAATAAAACAATTCTGTTTTTATATCTTAGTATTTAATTTTTGAAAAGGTTCCTTGAGAGCCTATCACAATAGATGTTCGTAAGAAACCTATTACCCGACAACCCAACATGTTCATAAGATGATTCCAGAGGAGGAAAGAAACAATGATTTCCACATCCATCCAAGGCACAAAATGTTAAATAAAGAACAGAATAGACGCCCAATATATGCACAATTAAACAAGGCCTTCCAATGCAAAAATGGGGAAGAA